CAGATTCTAAATCTAATCACACATTCTATGCATATGACTGTAAGGAAACCATGTTTTTCTACCAATCACGGAAATACAACCACAATCTGAAACGCATATTTTAGCAAATTGAGAAATTATCTTCTTGCCTTCTTACAAGCACTTCTTCTTTAAGTGTTTTGGCCTTGGGATCTGATTAACCAAAGAATCTTCTCAATTCTACAGTTCACTCTTAGAATGCAAATATAGAAATAACTTTTTATGAATTAACTTTCTTTGGTTTAGGTCTGTTTAGTATCATTTAGAATTTACCCAAACAAACCAAGTTTTAGGTTTTTTTGGTTATGTCCAGGTATGCTCTGAAACATGAAATATTAGGATCATTATTGATATTTTCTTTCTAGGACAAAATCAACCAATATTATCAGAAGTTCACCTGGCCTCAGTATCTCAAGACTGTTCAGCAATATCAGGCAACAATGAAACCATGGAATCACAATAAGATAAATGCTTACCAAATTACCCCTATTCTGGTAAGTTCTCCCTTTTTATTTTTAATTTTAAAAATGGACTTATTTTTTGTAGTAAAAATAAGCTAAGGAAATGAAATAGAGAAAATTCCAACATATTCTATTCAGTAGAAGCTAAAACAAAAATAAATAAAAATGTCTAGGCTGGAAAGTAGATTATAAATTATACAATGGAAATACAGCTATAATAAGCAAAAATAATTATAATGATAAATTGCATTTACATTAGATTTAAATTTCTGAAATATTTGTTTATAAAATTTCAGTTGATTCCTATAGCAGTTAGAGATAGGTTAACAGAGAACACTATTTCCATTTTATGTAAGTATCTGAAATTCTAAAAAGTTGTCCAAGCTCTATTTAACATTTTTCCTTTATTTAATTTTGAAAAATGTGACTTAGGAAGCATTCTTTTTCAACATGAATAAATAAATGAGAGAGCAAGAAACTGAACCCAGAGTATTGACAATTTAATATAAGTAATATAGAATTTAGACTCAGAAGACCTGACATAACTAAGCTTTTGATTTTGAATAAGTCACTTCATTCCCCAGATATTTTAAAAATATGATTTAGTTTCTTAGATATACATGTAACATTTAAAGATGTCTTCCACATTATTAGAGAAAATAATAATTTAGTATCTGTAGTTTGACTATGAGAGACCTAAAATCTGTTCTAAATATTTCCATGGAGATGTAAATATTGTATTTGCTTGTTATTATAAACATTTAGCTAAAATTAATGCCATTTCTCTCTCTTTTAAAGAGGTACTTTTAAGAATCTTGAATTAACAGCTTCTACTTGGATTTGGTAAGTGCCTTAAGGCCTAGAATTTAAACAATAATTTAAAATAGAATTTTTATGTGAAGAATGCGATCTTAATATTGTTAAGTAACGTAGTTTCAATTTTAATTAAATAAAAACCTGGCTTGTGAAATATTTTATATTTTGTGAAAGACTTCTTAATTCATAAATGTAAGTTACTGTGTAACTATTTCAGGTGTTTTATAAATATTTCATAAAGCATATTATAATAAAAATTAAGAAAATAAATGATGAGAATTTTCTCTGTAGTTGATGATGCATTCAGCCAGAAGCAATAGCTTTGGGTGGAATCTGTCACAAACTTAATGTTCACACAGGTGTTTACCCGTACCTTTGAGCTGAGCCAAGAAGTGAAAACTCAGCATTTCTGTATGAAAAATATATTCTTATCAAGGAAGTTTCCTACACAAGTCAAGCCATTTTAAAACAAATTCTCTGTATCATTTTCTCTGAAAAAAAAAAAATCATTTTTTGATACCCGAAACCTACTTTTCTTAATTACTTTTTTGATATTTTAGCCACTGCTTTGAAGCCGTGGTAGAAATTCAAGGAAACTAATGAACATCAGTGTTTCTTTTATGTACTCACTTTTAATTTTTTTAATATTTTTCTTGCAGTATATAGGTTATCTCCTATCTTAGAATTTTGTCTCCTTCAATTTATCCCCTTGTTCTTTTTATATGGCCTGCAAAAGGGGAAAGTAGTCTTCAGAGAAATTAGTAATAACAGTAATTTATTAAGGTAATTACCATGTGCTAGTCATTGTGCTAAGTCCTTTGCCTATATTAACTACTTCCATGCTCACAAAAAATCCTATGAAGTAGTTAATATGATCAGCCACTTGGAGATAAGGTTAAGTAAGTTGTTCGTGATCACCCTGAAAAAGTTGAAGAGTCAAGAGTCTAATACAGATTTCTGGCCTTAGGGCTCAAACCCTCCACTACCAATGCCGAATTGTACCCAAAGTCCAGATATACTATTTTTTGAGAGGATACTTTAACTTTAGGAACATTGTCACAAACTTGATTTGCTTTGTCATGTCATTTTGGTCCTTCTAGTAATGAAAAAGAGACAACTTCACAAAATAATCTTCTATGAGAAAAATACAGCGGTGCCTGGGTGACTTAGTCAGTTTAGTGTCCAACTCAATTTTGGCTCAGGTCATGATCTCATGGTTCGTGAGTTTGAGCCCGCATCCAGCTATGCCCTCACAGCATGGAACCTGCTTGGTTTTCTGTCTCCCTCTCTCTCTGCCCCTCCCCAAATTGCTCTCTATCTCTCTTTCAAAATAAATAAAAATAAACTTAAAAAATACTAATATAACTACTATGGATAAGAGCTGAAAATAGAGTTATATTTTATAAATAGCAATACTCCCTTTGCTATCATTTATATATTTATTCTACATTTTTAATAAGCGGATCATGTGTTCCATCATATGGGAGAGATAGAAATAAGATACCAATTTACCGGGGCGCCTGGGTGGCTTAGTTGGTTAAGCGTTCGACTTTCCCTTAGGTCATGATCTCGCGGTTGGTGGGTTCGAGCCCCGCGTCGGGCTCTGTGCTGACTGCCAGCTCAGAGCCTGGAGCCTATTTCAGAGTCTGTATCTCCTTCTCTCTCTGACCCTCCCCTGCTCACGCTATCTCTCTCTCTCTCCTAAAAAATTAAAAAAAAAAAAAAGATACCAATTTACAGTCATTAAGCTCTGTTCTAGACAAGGACACAAGAAAGGGAATACAATGTGCTAAATGCTAAGTTAAAGGCATGAGGTGATGGTAGTACAGGAAGGCCAAGTGATGCATCGGAGTTAAGTCCTCAAATAAGTCCTCTCATATAATTAGAAATAGACGAAGCAAGGCAGTGGGGGTGGGGGGGAATAAGACAGAAGATACTGAACTAACAGAAAAATTATAAAAATTACAAAAGAAACAGAGAAACTAAAAAAAATGTACAATAGATTCTGAAGACTTTAATAATTGTTAGGTGATTTACAAAATATCAGCCCAAAGTCCTTTACAAATTCCTTTACAAAAATCTATATTTCATTTAGATCAAAAGAATTATAACATAGGAAACAGTAATATTTTATGACTAATAAACTTTTTAGAAAATAAAAGTAAGTATTCCATTAAAATTTGCTGAAAATGTAAACGTTTACCATTTAATAAATAAATATGAACATTACTTTTATGTGCTAGATTAAAGAACCTGGCTATTAACTTTCATTCATTCATTCATTCATTATTCAACAAATAGTTATTAAAATCCTACTGCATGCTAGATATCATTTGGGGCACTAGAAAATAATTAGCAAAAATACTTATAAATAATAACATTCTGCCAGACTAGGATGGATGCATATTTGTGTTTTCTATATATAGACATACATTATTTCTGAAAATAATTCTAATAGATAATACAGTATTGTCTTTTTCCTTTTAGGTTTGACTGAAAAATCTATCTTCTACAGTTTCTTATCTACCATATTACTTCATTACTACCAGCATGCTTGGACAGACCAATTAATAAGGCAGAAATATTGAGCTAAAGGAAAGCTGTGAAGAATATTTTCTGAGTAGTTTATACTTTTCCTGTTAGTTCTTGTTGACTGTATTGGATGTGTATTGTGGTTTCATACAAACTGGGTTAATGATTTCATGTTTTCATCATTCTTTATGAGTTATAGAAACACCTTTTTTCCCCCAAAATAAAATTTCAATTGCATTCTTTGGTGTGTAATCATCATTTCCATTGTTCATACTGGCCCACTAGGCTTTTAATGATAATATAAAGAGTCCTTTAACAATTGACTTGAAACGAGCTTGGCTCACTGACATAACTGTACACTTAGATTTTACTTTTCACAATAGATAGCTTGGAACACTATAAATTATATTCTCCAACTATAGCTGAGTTCAAAGTACTAGTCAGCTATCATTCTACCATCTCTCTCATTCATGCTCATAACTTGCCATAGCCTTGATCCCAAACCTTTACCAACGCCCTCAATCCTCTCAGTTTACATTGTCTTACTGAAGAAGGAAGTCAGACATTGAGAACATAAACTTTCTAAGAGCTCCCTCTGCCTTTTAATGTTATCTAACAAATGAAGAAACAGAAAATGCAAATAAGTGGGTATGTGCATATATTATAAGGAAAAACTCTAAGAGAATGAACATATCCAGAGAAGACAGAGGGAAGGGAAAGTTAAAGCAAACTAGATCAGAGATCAGAAAGAAAGGGATAAAGATGAAGTTTTTTTGGCTTAGAAATTTGTGTTATGCCTTTGGTTGTGATGGGAAGACACTGGAGTGGTGTACACAGGAAAGTAACATTATACGATGTGTGTCTTTGATGACAATATTTGAAAATTGGAGACTTTTTCTTTGACTTCATAGAATATTCTTATCCTTGAATCCTTCCATTATACTCCATCCTATCCAATCCTTCTTAGCCTCATGTCCTTTCTTATTCAGGCTGAACACAAAGATTTTTTTCAGAAGGAAGTAATATATGACATATACTTTGAAATGGTGGAACAGGAAGAAGCTAAGAGAATTGTTCTTTGTCTTCACAGAATACTCCATCCCTTAACACTCTGTTGATATTCCATTCTCTCTATTCCTTATTGGCCTCACTCCCTTACTTACACACCCCAGGCATTATCCTTGGTTATTTCAAATATTATCTTGATGTTATCTGTAACTCTTCTGGCTCTCTGCATTTAGTCTTATTTAGAAAACACCCAACCATGAACTTGATTTCTACTTTCACTCCATCCAAACAGCCGAATCCTAAAGTAAGTTACTTTTGTAAACTTTTTTGGTCACCAAAGGCCACTTATCAAACTTTGTGGGCATTAGAGTTAGCTGCCTTCCTCAACTCTCCTTATGCTTCCAATTCATCTTACTAGAAAATAACTTCCCTTTCTAGTTCATAGACTATATTGAGCCCATCAAGCCTAAGCACTATCCGCTACCTAGTACAATATTTCAATAACTTGATGATCTCAACATTTAACTGTCTCCTTCAAGTCTCTAACAATATGGTGACCCTCTTCCATGTCAAAGCTAGTAACTCATTTGATGCTTTTAAAAAATCTCCTCTGTAACCTCTCCTTTTTAATAGATTATGGCAAAAATAATAAGGGTGATTATAATATCTAACATTGACTGAGCATCTATCTATATGCAGGGTAATTTATATATTTGCCTCAATTAAACTTACAACTATTAACATTACTATTACATTACTAATAATGATTAATATACCTTGCAGATGAGGAAATTGTAGTAGAAAATGAGTGATTTGCCACCAGGGGTACTATTCTATTTGGAACTATTTATTAAGATTTATTTCCTGGTAATTTTTATAAATCTTTCTTTAGCTATTTCTTTCAGGTATTTCACATGTAGTCCTCTTATTGTACAAAACAGTAATATTCTCTAGGACTCTGACTTCAACCACTTCCTTTTAACTGTACATTTTTTTCTATATGATCTTATCCAGTTTAACCATTTTAATTGCCACATATAATTAGTCAATTAAAATCAGCTCCCAGTTTTCTAGACTCAGCTCTGTAACTGTTGCCCCTCAAATTTTGAGGGGGGAACCCAACTGACTCCTGAATATCTATGTATGTGTTGGCTTCCCAAATTAAATTGTAAGCAATATGAGAAGCAATGTGTAAGCAGAATTTCACTTGACTCCCTAGAAGATAAAACATTATCCAGTATTCAGAGAAAGTCCCAGGTTATTCTATATATTTCAGACCTAATTTTTTAAAATTAATTAATTATTTAATTAATTTTAGAGAAAGAGAGAGCCACGTATGTATGCAGGAGAGTGAGGAGGAGAGGGGCAGAGGAAAAAAGAGAATCCCAAGCAGGCTCAATGCTCAACATGAAGCCCTGTGCAGGGCTCTGTCCCACAAGCCTAGGATCATGACCTGAGTCAAAATCAAGAGTCAAATGCTCAACCAACTGAGCCACCCAGACGCCCCTGACCCAGTATGTTTTTTTTAATAGTAAATTAAACTGGAACATAGCAGCTATTACAGCTCCTTTTTTTGATTTCTAAATAATTTTCAAAGATTTGTCAAAGATTCAGTTTCTCCAGATCCAAGTTTATGTCATTGGCAATTGGAAGAGATTTTTAAAACATTGAAGTAGGATAACATTACAAAATATGGCCATTGTTTGCATACTTATGGCAATAACACTTAGTAGTAATAATAATACAAATAGTATTAATACAAGAGTATTTCTCTTGTAAATTAAAATCCTTGACAATTCCAAGAGTGTATGTCAGTAATGGAGAATAAGACATCCTATTTCCGTTACTACAAAAACAAAGGATATGTTCTGGTCCATCACTATTCTTCTTTTAAAAATTTTTTTTAAAGTTATTTATTTTTGAGAGACAGAGAGACAGAGCATGAGTGGAGGAGGGGCAGAGAGAGAGGGAGAGACAGAATATGAAGCAAGCTCCAGGCTCTGAGCCTTCAGCACAGAGCCCAATGCAGGACTTGAACCCACAAGCTGTGAGATTATGACCTGAGCCAAAATCAAATACTTAACTGACTGAGCCACCCACGCACCCCCTGGTCCGTCACTACTCTAAAGTCACCTACTGTTTGTGAAGTATGATATTGTATATAACAAAAGAAAGCTACTATTATGCTCATTTTCCGTGTCCATTCCATACAGCTGTCCGATTTAATCCATAGGTTTCCCTCCTGTTGAATCATGAAATAGTGAAATTAATAATATCCATTTTTTAGTATAATGATGTGAAATAGAGGATTAATTAAGTTGACACCTTTTTAACTTTATACACAAAAAAGTAGCGTCTTTGGAGCCTTAAGTTCCAAAGGACTTATTTTAATTTTGTTCCCAGATTACTTTTTATCCACTGGGTTGGATTTGTCACATTCTCTAGGGTCTAGAACAGTACCATGTGTCTAAGTGAATGATCAAGTGAAGGAAAAAAGAAAGGAAAAAAGAAAGCAATGAAAAAAGAAAGAAAGGATGAAAGTAAGGAGGGAAGGGAGGGAGGACAGAAAGAAGGAAACTTATCTTCCAGTTCTCGGCATCTTTCCTGGGCTGTAGTGAGTCTACTGATGAGCTAATCAAATACATTCTTTTTCTTTGTTAGTCAGTTTTGATTTCTAGCATTTCCACTTCATTCTTTCATATAGTTTCCCTCTCTGCTGAAATCACCTATGTAATCCTGCATCCTGTCTACCTTACCACTAGATTCTTCAATATGTTATTCAAAATCATTTATATTCTCTGTTTTGATAGTTTCAACAAGTCAGTGTAATAACTGACTTTGGTTCTGACAATTGCTTTTTTTAATCTGTAGACTGTTCTTTTGTCTTGCCTTCCTGTTGTCATATATATATATATATATATATATATATATATACATATATATACATATATATATTTTTTTACTGAATGCCAGCCATGTGTTATAGTTTAGTAGATAATATGGTTAAAAGTTTTATGGTTGTATATGAGCACTTTTCCCTTTGTGAGACCATTAGTGAGGGAGGTTTATGCTAATTGATTCCACAGAAAGAAAATTACATACTTGGAGAAGAGGGTTCTTTCTCTCTTCCTAATAAATACTACAGCCCTTTCTATGATTCAAGAGTATCAAGCTAAATCACTTTACGTTACTTTGATTATGACTTAGGCACTGACAGCTAGTACTGTCTTTTATCATTTCTCATTTATATTGCATATTTCTAGAAATACATAGTTGTCAGGAATAAATATACAGGACAGAAGTGCTCTTTAAGTTTTTAATATTTATTTATAGTTGGCAATTCATGTTTGTAATACTAATATAAAAAAGACACCACACTATTATTTTATTTTAATTTTTTTAATGTTTATTTTTGAGAGAGAGAGAGAGAGAGCACAAGCAGGGGTGGGAGGGAGAGAGGGAGACACAGAATCTGGAGCAGGCTCCAGGCTCTGAGCTGTCAGCACAAAGCCTGATGTGGGGCTGTAACCCACAAAATGCTAGATCATGACCTAAACTGAAGTTGGATGCTTAACCAACTGAGCTACCCAGGCACCCCCACCACACTGTTATTTAAAACAATATTTATGTTAATCCATTTTATTCCATATTTAACATATAATGAATTAAGTATAAAATTCCTTCATCACCCTTTCGAATCAGTGTCCACAATCAAGTAATCAATATTTTCAAAATGTAGTTAGTATTTAAGTTTAATACAGTTCTCAATTGATCTTTTACTGCCACATTATGCGAATTTCCCTGATTTTATGATTCTGTGAAATAAGGGGAATAATTTACAGTCAAATAAGTCAAATTCATAGGTTTTTATTTTTTCAGATATGAAGCTGATTTATTTCAAAACAAAGGAAGTCAATTACATTAAAGACTTCTTATAAGTACCCCTGGAGGAAAGGGAGTGAGACAGAGTGTCCAGAGCAAAACCAGATGTACAGCCATTAATTTCCATCCTGGAGAAAAAGGTATCCTCCCCTCCACTCCCATATAAAAATGCTTCCATATTAAAAGATTCTCCCCTAGGTCTCAGTTAATAGAGTGACTATCAATGCATGTCATATTTATATTCTCTCCAGGTTTGAGGAAGTTAGTAACACAAGGTGGTAAGTAAATCTAATCCACCACACGTCTGAATGATTACTTCAAGACTCAATAAGAGAAGACTCATCTCAGGATTTTTTTTTTATTCCCTAGATTCAGACTGGACTCAGGAGTTCACATAAACCCTAAAAGAATGGGTTTGTTCTACTCAGGAATTCACTTCTTCTCAGGAAGAATGGGGTAAAGTAAGCCCCTCTCACTTAAAAGCTATTTGAAGGAAAACAAAAAACTGAGGAAAAGGAGAATGGAATACTATTATTTCAATGAGACATGAATATTTTGTTCCTTCTGGAGTATTCTAAAGACAAGTGATATATGAGTGGATAAATAAATTTAGACAGTGAGACAAGGGAGAGATTTTAAACATAGATAAATCTGGAATTTTTCCACTCTTGATTTTTTTAGAACTCTAAAATTATAAATGAATGAATGCTTTATTCTTTAAATTCTTTATGAAAAAGAAATGCTTATTCATTTTTAATAGAATTGCTAATACATAAGAGCTTCGTTAAATTGATAGTTACGTTAAGACAAAAAGTCAAATTAAGTAAAATTATGATTATTGGGTTATCTATAATATACTAATTTAAGCTGGCATTATTTGAACTACTTATATACAATTTATTTTCAAATCACATTAAAGGAGGTGAATTTGCATTCTCTCACATAGTTTCTTTATAACTATATTTTAGGGCCTTTGTATATAATCAAATTGATAGGTTCCCAAAATAATAGTGGGGTAAAGAAGTTCTTCTAAATTATTCTAGTGCCATATAATGTGACAAATGTTAGATAATTATTAAACAATATGATAAATATCATTACCAAAATTAAGCATTTGTCATATAATATGTATATAAAAATCTGTTCCAGCCAATTAAATCCTCCTGTTTCAGAGACCCAGAAAAAGCTAAAAGGAATAAGGTTTCAGAGAGATCAATAAATACATCAGGTAACTTTACATTGTTAACCTTTAGGGTCTACCATGAAGCATAGGCTACTGAAAAAAATATTTGGTTTAAACTGAAGGCTAAAATATCATCTTCTTATGCATAAATTCATATTTTTTGTTTCACCAACTAACATTTTTATTTTCTTTTTACAAAAATGTCAACATGCAGCAGAGAGGGAATTTTGGCACTACAAACAATTTTAGGAGATTTGTTTGATTGATTAATTTGTTCCTCTATTTATAATATAACCCATTCTAAAAGCTTTTAAGACAACTTGCAAAATAAGTAAAACAGGATTTTTTTTAAGATAAGTATTTTGATGAGACAGAGTAAGACTGGGGTAAATAAGATAAAGCCAGAGATGGAGTAAGCATCCCCACATGAGGTGCCACAATGCCCTGGAGAGTTCTAAATATGGCCAAGATATTTGACTCTGAAATTCCTGGGAGGCAAAGAACCACAAATAAATGCAAAAATAAGAGATAAGTAATATCAATGTATCTAGGCCATGAAAGTATATCTGTAGCTGAAAAAAAAAAAAAAAAATCCTAGGTATTTGGACCTGTCAGGAATTTCTCCAGTGCTGCTTATTGGTAGAGAGAATGAGGCACAGATATTTGCCACCTAGATCTTTACAACTTAAAAACTATATAAACCTATTGGTGTCTTTCTTACATAGTCTCTCAACAATAACAACAACAACAACAACGACAACAAACCAGATGTATAATACCAAAGAACATTATAGCGAAGATTATCCAATAGGTGGCCGAAATCATGTTAAACAAGTTAAACACATGACCTAAAATAAAAAATATGTTTGGAGAAGTGGATGGAGTATATTATTTCCAGGGCTTTGCCCATGAATAAAGTTTTGTAGCTTAGGTCTTGTTATAAATTAGGCACTAAAGCATTCACAATCTCAACTAAAACTTGAAAATATTTCATATTATTAGAATATACTTAGCATACAAGTAATACATTCTCACTTCACAAAAACATTATAGACTATAGAAGATAAAATGAAATTATTGAAATTATTTTTAAAATCGCCCATGAACTAATTAGAAACAGCCCATTAAATATTTTAGCTATATTTGACATCTGAATATTCACTTGGCAATATATCATGAACCTGATATTATTATTCCTAATGAATTACTTCACATTGGGCATTCATATTTTTTCACGATCGAGATACTGAATAATAATATATAAATATCTTGTATGTAGACTTTTTGTTAATGAGGGAGATAATTTATGATTTTGAAGAAGAGAGAAAACATAAACTTTAATAATCAACTGACTAGAGATTAGTTTTACTGTCTTTGAAAGAATTTTCTTTGAAGAAAATTAAGCCTTCCAAGATACACATCTGAACATGTGGCTGTGCTACCACCTTTCAGAGCAAAAGAGAAACATTAATGATTAAGAACCTAATGGTTTATGCCACAGTATATAGTGGCAACAACCTTTGGACTTGAAATTTTTTCCAAGTGGTCGATACCAATTTCCCACAGAACCTGTAAAAAAGAAAATCTTATTACAGCAGCCATAGAAAGCTACTTTTCAGCAGTTTTATTTTATGCTGAGCCCTCCATGACAAATTAATTGCAAAAATGTATCTCTATGTAACTGAATGAATTCACTCTCACTTAAAGAAGTTTAGTTAGAGGCCAATTAATTATTGAAGAACATTTGTAAAAACAGGTAATTTGAGTTGTAGCATAATTCCCGTTAGGTCATGGGGACAGTAGTTATTAGCAGGACCAAATTTTCTGCTAAGGGTGCTTCTACTCAGACTAAGAAAGCCATTCATTCTTTTGTGTCTCCCTCAGAGAACAGACATAACTAACATACATATTGTATATTTTCCAAAGTAACCACTGTCCAAAATTAATCTTCGTAGGGTCACTCAAAATGAAGCTTCTATCATGGGCCTGCGTCTTGTGTGTTGCTTTTACAAAGGTAAGTAAGTAAACAGACTTCTAAAATTATAGCCACAGTGAATAATTATAGATAAGGGTTATAGTGTTGATAAAATTGCAGCAGAGAGATATGTTAATGGGCATGAGTTTTGTCTTACAAAGTTTTCTTTTTTTAAAAAAAGTATTTATTTTGAGAGAGAGAGAAAGAGAAAGAGGGCACATAGGAGTGGGGAGAGGAGCAAAGAGAGAGAGAAGAAAGAATCCCAAGTAGGCTCTGTGCTGTCAGTGAAAGCCTAACACACCGGGCTGGATCCCAAAAACCAAGAGATCATGACCTGAACAGAAACCAAGAGTCAGACACTTAACCGACTAAGCCACCCAGGCCTCCTTGTTGTAACAAACTTTTCAAAAGAAATTTTAAAAATTAATAAATAAAGTTGTGTTAACTGAAAACGGCTAACCAACAAGGAAGAGAGGTTAGTTCAAAAATGCAGTGGGCTAGAGGAAGATAAAGTTACACAGAATCAACATCCCATTTAGATTATTTTAACAGAGTCTATGTTTTTAAATTATGGAAAGCTTGCTTGGGTTTCCCCTGGGAGTGATGTTCCATTGCTGGAGGTATTTAGGTGGAGTCACAAGAAATATTTGGTGGGGCATACTTAAATATACTTAATACTTAAATGGACATAGCACCCTTCAATGTAGCAAAAACAAATTAGACTCTGATACAAAAAAAAAAAAATAGCTGTTGGAAAATTCTTAATCCTAGCCAATGAGTGTGCTAGACATCCTCCTTTGTATATGGAGAAAATTATGACACTTACCTCATAGAATCGTTTTGGGGATTACATCATTATCTAAAGTGCTTGGCAGAATATTTAGGATACAATACAAGCTCAAATGTTACTCGATATTATTAACTACTTTACAATTCTTACTATCATCCTGTATAAATTTCAAGATATTGTCCTCTTAAAATTATGTTAAATTCTAATTCTTAAACTACTAAATGATGAGTTTCTACACTATTTTTTTTATCTTGTGCATAAGCTGTGGCGAATTTATAAAATATATTGAAGCTTAATTGAAGAACAAATGCATATATGATCCTGCAACTGTAAAAAGTGACAGGGGCGCCTGGGTGGCTTAGTCGGTTAAGCGTCCACTTTCGCTTAGGTCATGATCTCGCGGTTCGTGGGTTCGAGCCCCGCGTTGGGCTCTGTGCTGACTGCCAGCTCAGAGCCTGGAGCCTGATTCAGAGTCTGTGTCTCCCTCTCCCTCTGACCCTCCCCTGCTCACGCTCTCTCTCTCTCTCTCCTAAAAATTAATAAAAATGTAAAAAAAAAAAAGAGGTGACATATATACACACAAGTGCAGGTGCACACACACACACACACACACATAATGCAATGAAAACCTGAGAGGTGAAACAGAGCAATAAAACCAGATATATGAATAACAGCTGAATGATCTTTCAGTGGGTAAGATTGATATACATGTAGGAAATTACAAACCAAAACCCATCAGCCAAAGTAAAACTTTCTAAGTAAACTATTTAGGTCAAAACCATATGTTGATAATAATAACAAACAATTTATACTAATGATTCATATTTCAAAAATAAAAAAACTATACTAATAAGACTGTACAAATTCTTCAGTAATATGGAAATCTGGGTGCAGATGTTTTCAAATAAATAATCATATTGCATTAATTTTTCCTTTGTTTTAGAAGCGTTTCTTCCATGTTCCTGAGGTAAAACTTTTTCATTTACATATGAATGTGCTTGTTTTTATCAGAAAGTGTAACTTACATTTTAAAAGTCTTGTATTTTCTTTACAATGCAATTTTATGACTACTGTTATTAAATTTGATAGAAAAATGTTTGGAGTACAAATATACTTGTGTTAAACATATTTCCCATAAGGTCTTTATTTCTTTTCAATAAGCAGAAGTAGTAGGTAAGGGCACTCCCTCTGCAGAGTGATAAATATTTTGTTATGCCCAATAAAATTTGTGACAATGTCTTAAATTTACTTGAATGAATTAAGTGAGGAATTCAGAAAGGTTTTGCCTGTATGAAAGATTACACTAGATGATAGCATGATCTAGGAATTACTAATAGGAAGAGTGTGTCCCAAAGAGCTAGATGATTGCTGTGCGGAAAATACCCACAAATTACCCCTATGTACAAGGCCACAGCATTGATCAATGATCGATTGACTAGTATAAGACTTTTTTAAGTTGTTTGTCATTTTTGCCTCAAATGCTGATGACAGGAGTGTGTTAAGAAAATTCTGTTTGTACCATCTACAAGAATGCAGTAGATAAACATAACAACCTAGCAAAGGAAAGCCAGAGATATGGTCTGAATATGCACGCTTTTGACCTAATGCCATGAGATATATGGCAAAGGAATAGAAAAGTTTTGAAATAATTGTTAAAATGAAAACAGTAGGAGGTGTTCCTCTGAATTTCTTATAGGAATTAATATTTTAATTATGAGAGTCTAGGCCTGTGTGGTCACAATACAACTCACTGACATTTGTGTCTGTGAACACTCTGGAATATGTATCACTTGTGCATCATGCATCATACCTTAAAATGAAAATACGATGCATGAGCAAACATTTTTAACTCAGTAATTCAAGGAAACCAACCTAAAATTATAAAGAAATATCATATACAATATTAAACTCTTTTTCTTCAGTTTTTTATTTGAGTATAGTTGGCACACAATGTTACATTGATTTGGGGTATACAACATAGTGATTCAACCTCTCTATATGTTACACAGTGCTCACTGCTGCTGTAGCCACCATCCGTCACCACACAGTGTTGTCACAACACCATTCACCATGTTCCCTAGGCTGTGCTTTTGATTTCCATGACTTACTCATTTCATAAGTCTCTATCTGCCTCTCCCATTCACCTTTTTTTTTTTTTTAATTTTAAGAGAGAGAGATAGAGAGAAAGAGAGAGAGAAACAGAGCATAAGCAGGGGAGGGACAAAAAGAGACTCGAGACACAGAATCAGAAACAGGCTCTAGGCTCTGAGCTGTCCGCACCAAGCCGCAGGAGGGGCTCAAACCCAGGAGCAGCCACATTATGGCCTGAATGAAAGTCAGAGACTTAACGGACTGACCCATTCAGGTGCCCCTTCCAATCACCTATTTTACCCATTCCTTTTCCTCCTTCCCTCTGGCAACAATCAGTTTGTTCTCTGTATTTATAGGTCTCATTTTACTTTTTGTTTATGCATGTGTTTTCTTTTTCATACAATATTAAATTTTAATGAGGAAGCTGGACTGGCTTGGGAGGCTTAATAATCAGCCTTGAACAAAGAAAGCTTGATTGTTCTTTCCAGCACCTAGGAACCCAATGTCTAACACATGAATAGCACATAGTAGGCAGTCGTTTTATACTTTAAAAAAAAATAAATCCTAGAATATCCATCAAGAAAAAGCTTACAAATACCCAAAGCTGTCAAGAAACAATCTGCATTTTCTGAGAATTTATTTTGCAAAGCCTAGTTTAGTTACAGGGGATTTTATAATAAACACTAATAATGCTCTAATGTAAATATCTGGTAGACATAAGCAACTAGCCACAGAACTGAAACAAAATATTTGGTGCCCTATGTATGAAAGTTTGTAAATAGATATGTATAAGAAATTTAACGATTGTGTAAAAACACTGGCACTAATAGAACATTAACATTGGCTATTCTGTATATATTTTATAACAAGTATTTTGAATAACAGAAGAACCTTAATAGTCACAGGAAAAAAAGGCAAACAACTGCACCACTTAAGAAAATCCCAAATCACTCAGAGAGTTCTATCAGTTATAATCACTGAATATAGGTAGAGATCTAAAGAGCAATATTTTTCAAGGACACAAAGTTGAAAACAAACATTATTTTCTTTGTTGTTTTAGAAATTTCTCACATCTGGTGAAAAGGTAAAATATATTCATATATGTCTATATTTTAAGATATTAAAATGTATTCTATATTATTTTCTTTTTACAATAATATTTTCTATCTAATAATGTTAAACGCATCAGAATCTTGGATTGCAAATAATTTGTTCTGCAAGTGTTCCACAAGACAAGCAAACATTTCTACTAAATGATGAGTGATGTCTTACAATAGGAATAGTATGTGATGCTGAAGGTCACATGCTCACAACTGAGCCAATGGTTCTTGAAATATCTTTGATATAAGAGTGCTTTGGATTACAAGCTTGTTCTGGAACAAATTATGCTCTCAGACCAAGGTTTTACTGTAATTCAGTAGTATGTTTTCCTTGACAGGCTTGGAAAGTAATTTAGAAACATGTTCTCTTTTCTTGCTTTGATGGGCTAATTTAAAATGAATATATTAATATAAGCATATGCATAATTATACATTCTGGAACTGTCTTGTTCATACTGATATCTTGTCCAGATTCACTCCCTGCACTTTACATTAAATGTTTTTAACTGAAATGTAATTGTATAAAGTCATATATGGTAGAAAAGTGCTATTGATAAAGAAGGAAGTATTTTCTAACAAATATGAAACTGGGTCTAGTTCACAAATGGTGTCTGCCATTGGACAGTTAACTTGGAATACATGTAAATAAAATAAGTTCACTGACTGGTTAGCATTAACATAAACACTTTAGAAGTAAGTATTAAGTATAGTTCATTATATTTTAAAATGCTTAAGTTATAAACATTTAAAATTTCCTAAATTATAATTGAGCAGTGCAGTGTATCAAAGAATCTAGGAACTTGATTTATAAACCAATATGTAACAAAATCGTTCATTAAAACTGACAAATTTGATAGGAAATAAAATTTTATGTATATGAGACCCAGACATGTCTTAATGTTTTGTAAATTTCCACATAATTTTGTGACCTTGAAGCTCCCCAATAATCTTACACACATGTAATAGACAAATCTGGATAGCAACTGGAGGAAAATGTAGCAGCCCTTCTACGGAAGGAAATCATGTGAAATTTAATAGGAAATGCATCAGCAACATTAATAATCTCATTTAAAACACAAACACCACAGGAAAAATTAAATATGAAAAGCAGCAGTATATATTGCAAAATGATCAACACATTAAGTCTAGTTAATGTCCATCACCACGCAGTTATAATTTTTCTTGTGACGAAAACTTGTATTATTTATTTATTTATTTATTTATTTATTTATATGTGTGTGTGTGTGTGTGTGTGTGACAAATACTTTTAAGATCTACTGCTCACAATTTTCAAATATACAATACAGTATTAACTGTAGTCAATTATATCTCAATTTTTTTAAGAAGCCAGTAGTTACTCATCGACATCCAGCCTGCTTTCCTTCTTACTAACAATTTGAGATACTTGGCTTGGGTGAGTGGCGTTGGATGCAATAGGATGGGAAGGAAATCAAAAGGACACCTGGAAGAGGTATTATGAAGTGAATGCTTGGGTGGGGCGCTTTGGACATCTCAGGAGCAGGCAATGAGATGAGTGGGCCGGGCAGAAGGTACAGAGAAGGAGGCCTGGAATTACCAATCCTGTACTGTGCACCCTCTTTCCTTCTCTTTTTGTCCTGGCATAATGTACGGTTCATAACACTCTGATTTGCCCACATACAAAATATTTCTCCCTCACTTGAGACGTATTCAGTTGTCTCAAGAAATTAGTAGTCTCCTATTTCAAAAATATAGAAGCATATTAGCTTTGAGAAAGAGACTAAATTGGAATTCTTACAAAAATAATCTTCACTCATCATATATCATTACAATCATAACATAAGTAATACACAGATAGGATAGATCTAAATAGTCAATTTTAACTGACTTCTTTGCTTTTCCTTCAGGATTACAGTGGCAATCGTTACCTACTTAACCCATCTCTGAGTATTCCTTATCCCATGTCAGGCACTGATTCTGCTCCTTCTTTTCGTCCTTCAGAGAATAAAGTCCCCCATTACCCTGGGAATCCTGACCCTCATACTGAGGTGCCCTCATTTCCCTGGATTCTCACCTCTCCCTCTCCCGGAGCCCCCTTCTACCACACTTGTAATTTCCCTGTAACTGCTTGGCCGATCTCCTCTCCTCCTCCTCAGGAATCTTCCCATGTTGTCCCTAACTCACATAGACCTGAAGGACCTTCCTTCTCACCCAATGCTCCCCTGTCCCCCTACTGCCGACCCTTCTGTAGCTACACCTCATGTAGCCACAAGTACTACGCCACCTCCACACCTAGAGACTGTTGCAGTGGAGCCTGGGCCGATTGAGCCTGATGACGCCGAGCCCGTTGCCCCAGAACCTCAGCCGCCTTCTTCTGCCTAGGTGAGTTGCCTAAATCTTACTCCTGTGATGCATGGAATTTGTAGGAATGTGAAAGAAACTGAATCTCTCCATAAGCAAACAAATATCAGCTTAAACATGTTGAACAGCTTTATTAAGATACAGTTAGCGTATAGCACACTACGGGTACTAAAAAGTACACTTTCATAAGTTTTCACATACGTATATATCAATGGGGGAAAAAATCCCACCCTCCCCTTTCTCCTATTTCCAACCTATTTTCTGTCACCACAGACAGGCTGGTTTGTATGTTTTAGAATTGCATGGAAGCAGGATAAAAGTGTAAATACTTTTGGGTCTGGCTTCTTTCACTCAGCATGATTATTTCGAAATTGGGGGAAAGCATTGTTCTTCACATATACACATATTCAAGGGTTTTATTTTTAGTGAGCATTAGGCTACTATGCTGTTAAGCCTTATTAATTAAGCAGGAACAAAGAAACATTCTTATCTAAGGCTAATTTTTCCCATTACAGAGATCAAACCGTTCTGAGTACCCAAGCTTATGCCCTGTGAATTTTGAGATTTTTGTTGTTGTTGTTGTTGTTGTTCTGAGTACTCAAGCTTACGCTCTGTGAATTTTGAGATTTTTTTACTCTTTTGAGATCCAAACCTTTCCTCTGCCCTAGGGGAGTACCAGATATTGTTCCCTTTTGTCTTTCAGGAGGTTTTTTGCCTTGGCCTCAAGTGGAATCTTCAAATGAATAACCTATGCTTAGCTAAAACACGAGGAAAACCTTTTAGATCTTTGTATCTACATCTTTGTCCTTCTCTTTCCTCTCTAATGCTCTGCCCTGTGAATTTCAGCTACCTTGTCTTCCTGGGCTCCTAGCTCCATCTCCCTCAATGAAGACCTGGAAATGCTCCAGGCAGTAAGTAAGCTAGGACAATCATCAATCGTCAGGTTTACTTCATTTGCTTCCTGTCTCTTATGGATCACTGTCTTTCTTACCTGAAAGTTCAGATCTCAAGAGACTGTTGTTTCTCATATGTTAGGTACATTTTTTAAAATTTCCTCCAAGTAAGAGGGTAAAACCAGTTTCTGATACTCATCTTGACCTAAAGTATAGTTCTCTAGACTTTTTCAAAACAGTAACTCTTTAAACAATCTTTAGGAAGCACTTACTCCCTAAGTTTTAGTGTATGTAGTCCAAGCAATTGGGTTATTATATAAAAGAGAATGTGGGATTAAAAACTACATAGAAGATACTCTGAATTCTGGGCACAGACAGAAAAGAAATGGGAGCTTAAATCCACCAGTGAGTAATTTCTTCAGTACATTGTCACTAATCGAATACTCCTAGCATCTGCTTCCTACAAAGAGGTACAAATCTCTTCCTGTTCCTTTGTTTTTGATTAAGATCAGGATCAAGTTAAAAGCTAGCTTGAAATTGCACCAGAGTACAAAGAGCTAGCCTTATTCTACAATGCTCCACACATTAACATATTCATTCAGTAGGTTGCTTTGATCTAAAGCACTTTCCATTTACAAGCATATGCTTGTGCCTCACTTGGGGGAAGAGAGGAAATGTTGGAATGTAGGGATAAAAAGAAACAGGACCTAAGATAAAAATGGGCCTTAAAAACACTGCTAAATACTTGGACTTTATCCTGTAGCCAAAGGAATTTATCAAGGAGATTCACTGAGAAGAATGCTTTAAACAGCTCTCTGTTTTCAAAAGCTAAATATGATAGCAATATAGAGGATTCTAAATATGAGTTATAAAGAGATCAGTAGGATACAATTTCTTAGAGAATAAAGATTATTCAGAAAAATGTAGGCCCAATATTATGAAATGAAGTACATTTATAATGCATGACTTTTTTTTTAAGGTAAAGAAATGAAATTTTCTAGATAAGAGAGACCAACCATTTGTTTCTGTAAGTCATAGGTGATACTGAGATTTAAAAATCACACCTTATGGGGCACCTGGGTGGCTCATTTGATGGAGCATCTGGTCATGACTTCAGCTCAGGTCATGATCTTATGGTTCATGAGTTCAAGAGTTTGTGCCCTGCATCGAGCTCTCTGCTAGCAGCATGGAGCCTGCTTTGGATCATTTCTCCCTATTCCTCTGCCCTGACCCTGCTCACACTTTCTTTCAAAAATAAATAAACTTTAAAATTAAAAAATCACATTAAATAGACCAAATCTTATCATCTGAAACCACCTTGGAATATTTTCTTATGACCTGAAACCAAGAAAATGGAGTGTGGAGAGGCCCTGGTACCCAGCATCTGAGAATCTCTGCAATTATCAACTCATGTCCAGTGTAAGGAACGGAAGAACTGTGTAGATAGCTCTTCCTTAAATTGATCCAAATTGATTATGACACATATTCTAAAACAATATTGGTCGGTATAAGGAAGAAACTTCCACAGGAGGTATGGGGGTTGAATTGTGGAGGAGAGGGATTGTCACTAAAGTTGTCACAGATCATTCTGTATGCTATTCAATCCACTTCCATTCTTACCCCACACCCAAAACCACTGTCTCAGAAAACACACACAATTTAGATCAGAAATCTCCCAGTTCCCACCCCTTTGCCCTACAAAACTGTGCTCACCCTCCTCCTCCACCGCCCCACCCCCCCCCCCCTTAAACATTGTCCTGGGAAGAAAGGCATTGTTCAAAAAGCTCATTTGGACTCATGCCAAACCTGAGTTTATCTGAACAAAAAACTTGTTACCCTTCTTACAAGTTCTCACCCCTTTGTTCCTTCCCAAAGTTGGTTTAATTTTACTGTTATAAAATTGAACAGGAAAATTGCAAGGCTTTTTTTTACTGTCAGTCAAATCAAAATTTCTACTGAAGCGACATCAGTGGTTAAAGCAGAATTGAAAATCAAATGTGATGGCAGCTAATACTGTTGGTGATGCCTTGTAATGACAGCTCTTACCAAGGAAATTAAAAGGCTTAAAATTTTAGAGGCACCTGGGTGGCTCAGTCGGTTAAGCATCCGACTTTGGCTCAGGTCATGATCTCATGGTTTGTGGGTTCTAGCCCTGCGTCGGGCTCTGTGCTCACAGTGAGCTCAGAGCCTGGAGCCTGTTTCAGATTCTCTATCTCCCTGTCTCTCTGACCTTCCCCTGCTCATGCTGTCTTCTCTCTCCCTCTCAGAAATAAATAAAACATTGAAAAAAAAAATGTTAAAGGCTTCAGATTTTAATGCTACTATATTCCTTGGGTTTTTACTTATTTTACTATTATATATTATTGTTGATGACTAGTTGAAGATATTAGACAAATTTAATTTCATATTTTCATTTAGCATTATGTTTAGTTTCTTACTATATTTACTTAACTCACAGCTTAAAAGAGAAAGTGTGCTATTTTCTAAAGTCTCCTAAGGCCAAGAAGGAATTCTATTTCAAATCATTCAGTATCAGAAGATTGTGTTGATCTGAATCCAACACCTCACACAAAGGAACCCTGTACAGTACATACATGCATGCAAATAAAACATAATATTGAATTAAGGGGCGTCTGAGTGGCTCGGTTGGTTAAGTGTTGGACTTCGGCCTAGGTCATGATCTAGCTGTACCAGAGTTCGAGACCTGCGTCAGGGTCTGTGTTGACAGCTCAGAGTCTGGAGCCTGCCTCAGATTCTGTGTCTCCCTCTCTCTCTGCCCCTCCCTGACTCATGCTCTGTCTCTCTCTCTCAGTAAATAAACATTAATTTTTTTAAACAATAAAAAATATTGAATTACAATTGCACTTAAAAATTTTTTCATACTTATTTTTGAGAGAGAGAGACAGGGTATGAGTGGGGGAGGGGCAGAGAGAGAGGGAGACACAGAATCTGAAGCAGGCTCCAGGCTCTGAGCTGTCCACCCAGAGCCTGGTGCCGGGCTCGAACTCATGAACCATGAGATCATGACCTGAGCTAAAGTAAGTTGTTTAACTGACTGAGGCACCCAGGTGCCCTGAATTAAAATTGCATTTTAAAATAAATTATTACAAGACTGCGTAGGTAATATATACAAGAAGATAGAAGAAAACAAACTTTGATTCGCTTAAATGTGCATTTTAATCATAAACATGGCGGCTCCTGGGTGGCTCAGCCGGTTAAGCGTCCAATTTCTGCTCAGGTCATGATCTCGCTCTAGCTGTCAGTCAGTTTGAGCTCCGATTCGGGCTCTGTGCTGACAGCTCAGAGCCTGGAGCAAGCTTTGGATTCTGTGTCTCCCTCTCTGTCTGCCCCTCCCCTGCTCAACACTCACTCTCTCTCTCTCTCTCTCTCTCTCTGTCTCTCTCTCAAAAAAAAAAAATCACAAACATGGATTTGTAGGTAACCTTTCAATAGAGTCCTTTTAACATTAAAATCATGAAACAACAAAAGCAATTTTGTTGTGTGAGTAACTTTGTAATTTTATTATATAAAACTAATATCTTCCTTTCCTTTTTTCAGATTCTGTTGCAGAAATCAGTGAAATCTACAAAAATTTACCTTCTTTTCCAAAGACTTTCATTCAGTATATTAAAAACACGAATCTAACATATTGATTGGCTTGTGGTATTTTTTTCATCAGACTTCATTTATACAGAAATGATGTTTATGATGTACTTTTTCCATCCAAAATTTAAAAGGCTATTTCCTAAATATGTAAATAATTTTTTAGAGATTTAAACATATGATGGCAATATGTGTCTTTCTTTTGAATAAACACTATCTAAAAAAATAAAACACAAATAGAATTTTTAATAGTTTCTTTCTAAATTATTATTTTTGAAAATGTGACAGAAGGCAATTAAAGGAGAGACAACCATCATTCCACAGATCTCTCCCATTATCTTTCCCTCAAAATGTTTTATCTACTTTTTAAAACTTGTATTTTGTATCAGTTTACATAGCGGTTCCCAGTGTTAGACACTGTTCTAAGCTCCTAACAAAAATTAATTTACGCCCTTATAATAACCATGAAGTAGATATTATTATCACACCCATCTTAAATATTAGGAAAATGAGTAACAGAGAAGATA